TTTCTTTCTGTTAATCTAAAGCTGACAAGTGCTGTAATAAAGGGTGAGGAGGTTGAGAAGCAGTGCACCACAAATCCTTCATTTTCTCAAGCCTTTCATGGTATCAAGTCTTGCTAAAGGCCCACACCAAAACCCCTGTTACACTCTGCCTCATGCTAATGTTCACCATCAATAGGGAGACATCTATTTATGCAGGGATGACAGACAGAGATGGAGACAGAAACAGAGAGAGATAATGGATGAACAAAGACCACAAAGAGACCAAAGACTAAACATATGAAACAGAGGGAGTGAGAGAGAAAGGAAGAGATGACAGAAAAGAGGTAAGAATTAAAATTCCCCTCCCCTTTTCTTGTGAAGTGACAGCTACAGTGATGTATAACCCTAGCAGTGGAAAGTTAATTAGATAGGCTGGGTTACTGAGAGATGAAGGACTGAGGGGCTGCAGAGGAGAAGAGGGAGGTGGAGAAAGAGAAGAAGATGTAGAAAGAGAAGGTTACACAAAAAACAAGAGGAGAAAAGAAAGGAGAAGTAGGGCATAGGAAAGGTGAGGAATGAGACAAATGATGAGAGAAAGGAAAATAAGATGAGGTAATAATTCAATGATAGACAGAATGAGAGACTTGCTGAAAAGTAAAGTTGTAGAGGGAAAGATGAAATAAGAGGGAAAAGCCTTGTCAAAATTATTTTCTTATTCTTTGAAGCTGTAAGAATGTACAGAAACAACTACATGGTAGTCACACAAGCCACATCAGAAAAAAATCAGCAATATGCACATATTCAAAATCATCTGTCTCGCAATAAAACTTTCATGATGCTCTCTGACAATGAACTTGGTTAAAAGACAATCTTAAATATATCATCGGCACTGCAAGGCAGGCAATTGGATGTCTCCTCTCCATGCATGACACACATCCTAACAACAGGATAAAAACAAATGCCACTGAACTTGCAGACTCACGCACTCTCTGTCCCTAGAAATGTTTCACTGTTCGAATGAGTACCCACTCACTGGAACCACACAGTCCTTGGGGATTTGTAATACTTCTGAACACTCAATAAGTTCATAACCTCCTTTAGAACTCCCTGTAAGCTTGCCATGTATGTCACACAGACTGCTGTCATCTGAGTGAAAACTATATGTTCTGAAAATCTCTTTTGAGTGGAAGTTACAACCCATGGGTAAAATAATAAACACACAAAAGAAATAATAAATACAACATAAAACGCTTTTTATTTAGTAGCTGAACATTCTGGCTTCCCTCTGGCACTCCTCAAAAAATGTATTCATATTATTTTAATTATTAGGATGTTTTTTGTTTCTTTTTCTATTTGAAGTAAAGGGAAAAATATCCTTCTTCCAGGATAGATCCTTTCCTTTCAAAAACAATTTTCTGATTGACATCCAGACTTTTTACTTGTCATCATATTACTGAGCTGAAATGCCTTTTCTGAAAACAACAACAACGAAAAAAAAACAACAACTAAAAAACAAACATTGCTTGGTGGGATTATCATTCTGAAAAAATCCTTCATCTTCATGAACCCAAATTTACAGCTAATGTTTGGACAGAATGAGAACATTTCAGCATGTACCTGTGCATTTACTGATAATGTAATGATTCCCACATGCTCTGATCCTTTATATGGCATAAAAAATCCCGATCATAAATGAGTGAGGAAAACTGCTTGTTTTCTCAGTTTTAAAAGTTTTAGTATCACCTCCGCTGCTAAAGCAGATTTGTTATTCATCACTGTTAAACATTACTTTCATCCAGTCATCCAATGACCAAAATTGCTTCACTTTAGTCCACTGATATCCTTTGATATCGTTTGTCTACCTGAATATTTTCCTTTTATAACCCTCTCATTTTGTTTGTATTTGAACCAAATCATAGATAGAACTGATTCTGTGTGGTAAATGATATTAATTTTTGATATTGGTTTCCTTCTTAGACTAGATGGATAATCCCTTCCATTGTTTCACCTGACAGCTCTGTTGTTGTGGTCATGCTTTCTTTCAGCGAGGTGCAATGTCTTGAAAGTACTTTAAATGCAGCGTATTAGATTTTTACAGTATTTATATTAGAAACAGATTAAAAGTTACAATTCTTCCCTCTATTTGTTCTGGAAAAATATCATTAATTAAAATAATAATTTTAACTTAATCTGTTTGCTTGTGTCTTGTGGAAGATTCTTGGATTGTTAGTTGAGTTACCAAGTGAAGTGGTGAACCGAGAGTACGAATACACATAGCATAAGTAAAGTGGAACAAGTGAGCTGATGGGGCAAGCTGGAGTGACTGGGCATTGTTAAAAACACTGACAGCCTCTGCTGGGTGGAACAGGCAATTAACAGAAAAGTACTAGTAAATCTGGTTCATCAAACTCATGTCTTTAAACGGAATTTCTACTGTGGTGGTGTGGGTTTAAAGTTAAAATGCTGTTAGCCTAAAAACTAAACATATGCCAGGTTTAAATAAACCAAAGGTAATTTAGTATCTATGAAGTGACAGTGTTTCCAGTTAGCTGGAGATACAAACATTTTAAATAATTTAGTCCTGGCAATAAAAATAGTATTGTGAAATAACAGACACTCTTACAATTGTGCGGTTAGATACCTACATTATATATTTCATACGTCATTAAACATGACTTCAAAATTTGCACAATAAAGCACAATACTGTGGAAAATGTCTGTGCAATTTGTCAAAGCCTGATCTGCAATTACTGTTTAGATAAATGGACTATTGTCCAGATACAAACACATTACACTGTCTGCAAAACAGGTGTTTATGTTCATTTAGTTTTATTATGCCATTTTTACTATAACGACAATACAGTGCACTAAACCTCACCATGCCCTCTACACATCATCAACAATTTCACTCCTGTATAGTCCGTATGACTACATATATTGGGGTAATCCTATAGATGTTGTCCTAGCTCTCCGATTTTGTTATTATGACTACTGTATTCTTATCATATGCTAAAGTTAGAATTTGTATCCACAGTATCATGTTATATGTAGCTTTTGTTATGTACTTTTTCCAAGTAAGGCCCGGTGGAAGAAAAAAGATAAGGAAATGAGAATAAGGCAGTAAGAATCAACAGCAGCAGAAGGAAAGAGAAGAAAGAAGAGAGAAGATTGTGATAAAACACAGGAAATGAGAAATGGAGAAGAGAACCCAACTTTTACCTGTTTGTGTCTGTTGGTGTGTGTGTGAGAAAATGTGAGTGTGTGTATTTGTAGTAGAAGTCAGTTTGTGAGTGTGACTGACAATGACAGTGAGTGCAACGAGTGGGGGTCATTCTTCTGTTAATTAGTAAGTTAATGACACACTATGCTCCAGCGGACATGCAATATGGCAGGCTGACACACACTTACATACACACACTTACAGCCACACATAAGGATAATGGCTAAGTCTGCTTCGGTGCTCACGCAATGTGGCAGGCTGCTATGCAAAGAGCTTGACAGTGAGATAACAGGCTAACAATGACACTTCACACATACAAACACACACACAGCAGCAACAACTGACAGGGAATCTCATCAAACCAGCTTTAATGAAGTCACTTTTCCCAAATAGAAAAGAGGAAGAAAGGAGTGATGAGCAGAGGAGGGGAGAAAAAGGAGGACAAGGTCGCATGGATTGATGACGCTCATTAGCCTAATAAGGTACTTTAATGAAGCGGGCCCAACACTATAGAGTGCCACAGAGTCTAAATAACACACACACACACA